GGCAAGATTCTGTCTATATGGTATAAGCAATAAAGAACTGAACTTGGCTGGATTGCTTCCCTGTTGTTCTTGGGCTGGGCCTGACAGATCCATGCTGTTGGTGTGCAAGTGATAAGAACCTGTGACCCTGGAATGAGAGCCCTCACAGTCTAAGCCATTGCAAGGGCTTGAAGCCATTCTCCCTTCATCCATCAATGGCAGACAACCACATGATCAACTTACTTCACCTGATCCTCAGGTGGCTCAATGGAATTGGTTATGCAGCCACTAGGAGGCTGCCACATCCTTGCTTTTTGAATCTGGCTATGCTGCATAAAAGCATTGTGATAGCTGTAACCAGTAAAGCCACTGGCAATCTTTTCCCCATCCTCTGATATAAATTGTTGCATGTCTTACTTGCAACTCCTTTACCTCTTTTTTACACACTGCATTTAAAGTGGATGGCCTGGCAAAAGATACCTATGTGTAATGTATATATCACTACATTTTTCTTGGTAAAATCAGAAGGGAAAAAAATGGAATTTGCTGACAACCCCCATTCCTAAATATTAATGTTGCGCAGTATATCAGATTCACTTTTGAAAATGTTACTGGGATTGTAGGAGCACAAATGTAGTACCTGTCTGCATCTCTTTAAAGTAGTGATGTCTTTTCCTGGGAAGAGGAAGAAAGAGATTATTCTGAAATACTGCATGATCTCTCTCTTTTTTTTAATTTTTCAGGGTGCAATGGCAGCCACCTACTTTGCTTTAAACCAAACACCTCAAGCACCAAGGCTGGAACCGGTATTGTCCTCCAACCTGGCCCAGCGAAGGGGGATGAAAAGATTGACCTCAACGAGGTTATAGTGGTCCCAAAAAGGCCTGTTTAAATAACAAGAAAACACTTACCCAATATATTGATCAGAGACGCTGGTCTATATTCCTAATTCTGCAGGACTCCTGGCACACAAATTGTTTTAATCAGCAAAACTTCAGTTTAAGGCAAAGTTATTCTTTGCTTTCAGATATTTTTGGGTTCTGTTTTTTACATTACCACCAAGATAGCAAATACTCAGAAATGTGCCATTTTTCAATTGCTGTATCGCTTCTTATTTAAGTATCAACTGCTGACATCTTGTTCTCTCCTCCTCCTTTAATCCAAATGCTATTTTTGGAATTATAGATGCTCTGTAAGACCACTTTTTGTAAGCACCTTTCAACAGATTCAATTTTAGGCATCAGTTCTACTAGCATCTGTGTTTGGTGTATTGTCACCACTAGCAATTAATACAGCTATCTGTCATTAGCTGTACTAAGGTTTGTCTCCAACGAGTTGAATATGTCATGATGTGTGATGCCATAAAAACAATGTCCTATTAGGAGTGAAGGGAGGAAAAAAGAGCTGGAGACATACTTGTGCTGTTAAAGGAAAATAAATATTTTTATGAGTTTGGACCAGATGAAGGCATGGAAGGGAGATTAGAGTTGTGCTCATTGACATGTCATCCATACACTGAAGGCTCCTATTTGATAAGGCCTCCTTTCTTGACCAAAAATACACAATCTGATTTATCTTGGACAAAGGGATTTTATTTATGGAAAGTGACTATGTGTGGTCAATTGCACCTAACCACTATACATATATATCTGCCTGGAAGTTAGAGGTGGAACCAGAAGATAGGACTTCAATCCTCCTCTTCCAATGATGCATTCATAACTACATGAATGAATACAAGCACTGTGCTTCATAAGCTGTTACAGACTTTCCTATTATATCAACTTGAGATAGTGATCTTTTGTTTACTGGTTTAATGTTAAACTAATAGCTTATTGTGACAGGCTAAGATAAAACCATCTACTGCCCAAGAGAGAAAATTTAGCAGAAGAGCTTCAGCAGGCAAAGTTTGTATTATTTCTTATATCAAAGGGAGCAAGCATGTATATGATGTTATTCCTTCATAACATTTCCCTAAAAGTCTTGAAAGATTATTGAAAAAATTGGTACCTTTTATGTGTCACTGATGCTTCATATCCATCAACCCAGATTGCACCATTGGCCGTAACCAAGTGCAGATTTAAACATGCTCCATAGTACAATCCTATACTTCTTTACTCAGAAGTTTCATAACGTGACTGTCTCTCAAGTAACTTAGTATAGAATTGCACCCTAAGCCTTTGGAATCAGTGGCCTTTGGAGCACTCAGTTCTGAGTTGTATTGTGAGGATTATTTTAAGCACTTTACTTGACTTTTACTTTCAGAATGGATTTTGCCACCTGCTAAAAGTGTGCAGGAAAAAGCGTATACTGCATCATTTTTCATTTATTCTTGGGGAGAAACTGTGAAGTCAGGGTATTGCATCCTACAGATTTTTGTTGTTGTTGTTGAGAAGTTACGCCATTTTGGTGCTAAGCACAGTTTGAGAGATTTGTATTAATTGAGCCTGCATACACAAAAGAGCAAGAAACTGCATTAGCTGCTGTAGTGTGCTTCTTGATGTTTGTTTCTGTGTTCAACAAAATGTTATATTTATTTTATTTTGTCCTTAATTTTTAAATTATATTTAATGTTCATTTTGATGTGCTGTGCACACAGGACTGCAGCAGAGCAGCTGTTCTTCAAGTTTGACTTTTCAAATAAAATAGTGCTGGGAAACACCATAAAAGTGAGTGAGCTGTCTTAAGCATAAAAAAATATGACAATGTTTGAGGATTAGAAATTCTGAATGTGTGGTCCTGCTTGGTAACAGAATAGAGACAGGATGTTTGAAGGCTTTCTCACCTTTCAAAACCCATCACAGAATCCTCCTCAAGTTAGGACATTTTTGTAAGTAACAAAAAATGATTTGTCTGCTTTAGGTACCTGCTGACAACAGAAAGGCACAAAGGGGCACATTATTCAAAGCATGTTTGATTGCTGTTTTTATTCATCGGTGCTGCAAGGGGTATCCTGTCCAAATGATTTGGATCTATGAAGTCAGTTGGAATGCAAATAATATGAATCAGAACACATATATTTAAAAATTAGTCAAGAAGTATGTCTCCTTTTCATGGAATTATGGTCCATGAGTATATTATTCCCATGGGATAAATCACAAGGCTAAGCTTCACAATGCACATTAGCATAAATTATGTACTTCCTTGAATATTAAACCAGTTTTATCTTTTGCAGCACCTGATCGACAGGGACTGGGGCAGGGGGAGTGTTCTTCTGGTAAAGCATCTGTGCTCACAGGCATCCTTTTCTACCATGACAACATGATAGAATGATGGAACTTGTGGTGTCATGATACAAGCTCTGGTTTCTTACATTTGCATTGCAGTGTTGCATACAAATATACAAGGGGGAGGTTAATGTTGCCATGCACATGTTGTCGCTTGCCCCTGTGGGCATCCATGGGAGGAAAATGACAAAAGCAGCAGTGCAACAGCACAAGTTTTGTATGTGTGACATCACTCTCATGTATGAAAGGAGGGAGCTTGCATTGCAGTGTGAAAATGCTGCTTTCACCATTTTGATGAGAGCATTGGGTCCTGTGGATGCCTCTGACTAAAGAACTATTTAATAAACAAGAACAATCCCTGCCAGTTTTGATAACTGGCTTTTTAAAATATGTTTGAAGAATTGTGTCAAGATGTGTAGTTATGGTTTGTTTAATAAAATTCTGAAGATATGAAAATGTAATGCCACTGAAACAGAAGCAACTTAGCTAAAATATCTAGAGATAAATTTGCAAGAAAGTGAAGATAACAAGAAACAAGGTGCTGTATGGTAACTAGAAGATACTGGCAATGTTGATTCCAAATTTCCGCAAAAGTTTTGGAATTGATCTTGTGTATCTCTTTGGATCATAGAGAAAAATCTATCTGTAGTCACTAAGAGTCGACAAGGACTTGATAGCACATAATCAATCAATCTCTTTGGAAACCAGTTTTGAAGAAGCTAAGTCTCATACATAAGTAAATGGTGAATTTGTTTGACCTCAAACTGAGAAAACAGCAGTAAAATATATGGACAGGTTGCAATAGAGGTTGACAGTCTTTTGGTGAAGCAATTTTAGCCAGGCATTTTATAATTGACTGCACTAGAAAGAATGGCTAGGCTTGATCAATTGTGAAGAGAAATAAGTTTAACTACATAATAATGCCAGCTCAGTTGAAAATTTTGGTTGCTAATTTCTGGCACATTATTGAATTTAATTTTTGTTTGCTTGGAATGTCAGCTCCAGGATAAAGACCTTTTTCTATTTCAAACAACAAGAAGACACAGGTCATAATCTCATGGGATAAAATATAGTTCAAATTCTTCTTTCCTATGAGCTTCATACTGACTTGACATGTTCCCAGTTTTTTTACAAAATAAAAAATGGAAAAATAGGAACAATTCTCAGAGGCAGTAAAATACCACTGGATTTCAGAGTAGTTTAAGTTTATAAATAGAGATAAATTAATGTAAAGCAGGGACCTGAATTTCTTGGTTTTTGAACTTTTTCTCAGTTTAATGGTTTGAAAACAAAGTAAGCTTAAATATAAAATATAATTATAAATATCTATTTAAATATAAAAACTTTTAAGGCAGTGATATGAAGAGCTTTCAAAGTATACTTGGCTACCACACCAAACTTAGGGGAAAATTGGGTTTTATTTTTATTTGTTAGATTCATATCCTGCCTTTTGTTCAGGAGTTATGCTCCTGCTGACCTAATATGCTCAGTTTCACCACACACAGAATGGGAGGAGCATCATTAAAAGTGTG